ACCCTATAAGACCAAACCAAGAGGGTTTAAGATTTCTGGTATTTCCAACAAAAAAGATTTGAATCCATAAAGGAATTATATCTAGATTATATTAAAAAACTAGATTTGTTATGAAAATTTTAAAATTATAGCCCTTAAAAAACAAAACAGAAAACATATAATTACATAAAGCTAGAAAAAAAGTTGAATAACTTACACCTACCCAAGTCTTTCAAAATATCTTGAAAACACAGTCTTCTGCTGTTCATAAACAGGGACATGGTTAGCAAAAAAGACTACTTTCCCTTTTCGTCCTTGTGGAGATGTTAGAAGATGATGTTTACATATAAGGAGTGAAACAAAGGTTTTTCCACAACCTTTTAATATATAAAGAAAAAGAAAACATGTAACTAATATAATTCTAGTATTTCTGTAGAAAAGTATTTATTTTGGTTCTTCAAACACCATCAGGTTGACAGGTAAACTGATCATTTAGATGGATGTATAACTACAGATTTTAAACTATTAGTAAAAAATATAACTTACTTAAGTAATATACTCAAATAGCTAGGAGCAAGAGCAAGCTAAAAGTTTTTTATTTCAATGTTTATGTCTTTTAAAATAAATTGAGACTATATTTACGGTATGGTTCTCTCAAACACAAATGAAATAGGCATAATATTACAACTTGCATTTAATGAAAGAAAAAGCAAAAAACAAACTTCATAGTAATGGCAATTGGCTTACCAGTAGGAGCACATATTATTGTGTTTTTTCCTTCCTGAGCAGGACGAGCAAGCTCTAATTGGTAATTTCTTGGTTTCAACGGGTTGTACAAATTAGTATGAGACACTTCTATAAGAAAAAAGAAACAGAATTGCCAATGTTACTCCTCTGAGGAATCATCCCAATAATTATAGTCTAATGGATGTGAATCCTCATTCTAGTCAAAAGGGCCTTAACTGGGGTTTAAAATCTTTTCTGATTAACTAACTACTCCAGCTTCTTCATGATATGAAGAACAGAATTCTTACTCGGTGAAAAAGTATCAATGACAAGGGTGAAAAAACATATGGATTATTTCTAAATCATAGAAGCCTAATAAAGTTAAGTAAAAATGGTCTAATTAATTCAGGGTAAGAAAGATGATCACCATTTATATAGAATGTTGTTTGGAACAAAATAACAATATATCCTTCCATGACTGATAAAGAAAACTGTATTATTAATATTGGATTCTTAAAGCAATTTCTTACTGAGGAGAAACTAGGCTTTATAACTCTTCAGACTCTCAAATACTGATTTTTTTTATCAATATGACCAGAAATTTAAAAAAATGATTAGTCTTTATCTTAACAATAATGTTATAAGGTAGGAAAAACTTCAGAAATCATTTAGTAAGTTGAACCAATTCACTTTAAAGATAGATTTTCTAAACAGTTAAGAAAATTAATTTCACTGCAGACTTATAAGGATCTTTACATGGTAGAAACAAAGCAACACATTCATTGATTTTATTCTAGAATGACAAAAAAACTTGTCTCACTGTTTCAGTGAAAAATCTATAAATTTTCTTTTAATGATATTATCCTAAAAATCCTATTTTTTCTAACACCATTATTAATCTAAATTTCTCTCTTGATACATTTTTTAATAAATATGGCATATTATACAACCATCTGATCTCCCCATGAAAGAGTCATGAAAATATGCATACTTGAAGAAACATACTAGGACCTCATAGGGTCACAGTTAATTTTTAAAGTGCCTGGTGGGAATTAGAAGAAGGAGCTCCTCTGAAGACATAAGCGCTTCACACAGTTCTGCAAACAGCAGAGACTGCACCTCAGCAATACACACTTGTGCAGTGCGCACACCTCATCAACTGGGACAGCAACCCTGGAATCTCAGAAGAAAACTGAGTAAGTGGCTCACAAATAGCAGTATCTTTTTAAAAAGAACAGATGCTTTTGGAGTTCATAGACATTAAAGTTCCAGGAGGACTCTATTAGCAATTCCAATGTAGACATGTACATATTTGTTTAGTGCTAAAATAAGACATAAGAAAAAAGCAGAAGCAATAACCATGAAATAAAAAATTGATATTTCTATATAAAGTATCTATTTAACATAAATTCTCTTTTCTTTCTAACTTTTTCTTAAAAAGCCTTTCCACAAGGCTGTAACTTTAGGCACTGCAAAAATTATCCCTTCACAATGTAAATGAAAAATATCATTACAGAAAAAAATGTTAGGTACCTGAAGGTGGACAGGAATTCTGACTAAGATTTTGGTCTTCTGGATCTTCCCGATAGAAAATCTGTATGTCAGAATTTTCCATTCTATCATCCTCAACATTTTTCATTTCTACAGCTTTCATACCTTTATAAGATTAAAAAAAAAAAATCTTAGAATATTAATGTAGCCCAATCATAGCTTTGGTTGCAAAAGCCCCACAAAGTTGTAACACTAAAATTCTAATATTGTATTAAGATTTCTCAAATTGCACCTTTCACTTATTAAAACAATTTAAAGAATCATTTGAGTTTGAAGTCTTCATTTGATATTTGAGTTCCAACATCACTTACAACTGTATTATTCAAAGTGTGAAACATGGAACCAGCAACTTTAGGAGCTTGATCAAAATACGAATCTTGAGCTCCTGCAAATCAGAATCTATATTTTAACAAATATAGTTCTAAGGGATTCATACTTACATTAAAGAAAAGGCACTTAGCAAACAGGCATTCCACCTCTGACAGATGACCCAAGAAGTTAGATGTGTGGTACTGGGAAATGAACCCAAAGCACACTGTCTTGCACATACTAGGCCATGGATCAACCACTGGGCTGCATCCTCACGTGTGTGTGTGTGTGTGTGTGTGTGTGTGTGTGTGTGTGTTGACATACAAGATCTTGCTATATCGTTCAGGCTGGGCTGAATTTGTGATCCTCTTGCCTCAGTCTCCCACTTTCTGGACTTATAGGCATGTACCACTGTACCTGGCTAGAGCAACTTATCTAAAGATGCCTAGGTAAAACTAATGCTAAGATACTGAGATGTTCGTCAGACACAGTCCTTAAAATAAGGCTCTGGGATGATGTTAGCTTTAGGAAGCCAAATGAATCCTCAGACACTGAGTCTAGGCAAAGCCTTCTTTCACTCTTACCTTCTTCAGTTCCAAATGGCTTACAGGCAAAGGAACAAGGCAATGTCTATCATGATTCTACCTTGAAGGGTGGGTAAGCCTTGGAGTTCCAACTCTAAGGGCTAGAATTCTCAAATTATTTCTCTGATAAACTAAATTCAAGCTGGAAGCTCAGACTTGAGCCTTTCCTAAATTTTGGGGACCATATGGACTAGTAATATTAGTACTATTAGTATTCTGGATATAACAGTCTGTCCTGATCCATTTTGGAAAGTTACATACAACCAAACTAATTCCAGAATCAAGTAGCTACCTCCCTCCCAGATCTTAGCTTCATGTGAGTTTCTAACTAGAGGTGCAGTCTTATGTGTCTGAAGAAAAAGGCGCTTCCAGTGTTAAGTAAAAATTGGTAGAACATGGGAGGCCCCAAATAGAACCAAGAGGGAGATACAGCATTTTTATAAACCTTTTCCTTTTTCCCTTCAGAGCTCTTCCTTGGAATATCCTACCTTCATCTATAATCCACAGTTCATTGAAGATGTTCCCATCTTTCTCTAAAGCGAGTTTCAAAGTCTTGGGCCAGTTCTCCTTGTCTGATCTGAGAAGGCACTCAGCCATTTTCTCTGCACCTGCCATAGGCCCCTTATTGGTGCAAACCTAAGCAAGGAAAATGCAGATTTTGACCAATTATTTCAATATTTTCTTCTATAAGCTTTCACTGTAGAAATATCAATTCAAATACTATTTGATTTAAAATTATAGTAAATTATGGTTCAACGGGTATTAGTTAGCATTTTTGCCCCAGTCAACATTGTCTTATCTTGTGTTTTTTGTGTGTGACATTAGCAGTTGGGCCCAGGGCCTTAACGAGCCTTCCGCAACACTTTTGACGGGTCTCTCTCACTGTGGTACGCAGGCTGGGCTCTTTCCTTCATCACATGATATCATTGTGTCAAGCTAAGCCTTGTCATCTCCTCTTAGTTCTTAAATCTACCCATAGCAGCATTATTAGGAAAATAATCCATTTGACAGCCATTCACACTATGGACATGGCTGTCAAATGGATTATTTTGACAGAAGGATATTAGTAAGGATATAACAAAATGTTAAATAGTTTTCTCATGGTACAGAAGTTTACATGAATTTTATTATTAATCAAAATAACTAAAACTTATTGTGCAATTATTATGTTCCAGGTTTATTATATAAACATATGAAATTAACATATTAACGTACTGTAATTATTTGTGCTTTATGCACGAAGAGACAGATGCTTAAGGAAGGTAGGTAAACTGCCCAAGATCACACCACTAGTACGTGGCTGAGCTAGGATTTAACAAAATTTATATGTGGCAACAGTCTAAATGTTCAACTTCTACAAGTCTATATATCCTTTTTCATTTTTATTTGATGAACTATACAATTTTATTTAAATTTGAATAAAACATTCATAAAATTAGGTAATTTTAACTGAAATAATTCCAGGTAATAATTCCTTAGTTATGAGAGCGTGTGTATAGAACAGGGCATTTCTCATATTCTTATTATTTCCTCCAAACTTAGTATTTCATGTTAACTTACCTGCCAAATTTCTTCATAATCCTGAGTGATTAAACATTCAGCCAGTTCAGGGAGGATTTCTGTTGGAATAATTCTGGCTTTAAATTCTGGTTCTAAGCGTCTCAAAAGTGTTCTGTGGTCCTCTAACTTTTCAAGGTTTTGAAAATTCCAATTTTCAATGGCTTCATAAAGTCCAGAATAACCTGACAGAAAAGGAAATGAGAACTTTTATAAGACCAGCCAAAATGCTTTAACATTAATATCATAACCCATGCTTGAATAAATGATGCCAGAACTTAAAAAACATTTGTAAAGTTACTTCAGTTATCAATACTTTTTCAAAAAGAAAACAGTATTCATTTTAGGTATCAAAAAGTTGAGGTCTTCTAACAATATTTGTTTTAGAAGAAAGTAATACTGACAAATTTGAAGTTTTATGTTTGATATCTGTATAAAATCTTCCAAAGTATCCCATTAACTTCACCTGCAACCTGATTTCCCTTTCAGTATAACAAATCCACCAGATTTATCTTCTCAGCAATAAGCAATAAAAAGATAAAAGAAAATATAAATCTCAATTCCTGCCCTCAAAGAATTTTCAATTTACATGACTGCAAGAAAATAATATTAAGTAAATGAAGCCAGGTGTGGTGGTATGCACCTCTAATCTCATCACTTGAGAGACTAAGGTAGGAAGATTGTGAGCTGGAGGCCAGTCTGGAATATATAGGGAATTCAAGGTCAGTGTGGAAAACATAATGAGAGTTTATATAAAAAATATTAAGTAAATGGGAAATTTGAGGAGGAAAATAGTAATTCCAACTTTAATAATTTAGGAATGTCTCACTCTAAGGTTCTGTAACACAATCACCAGGCTTGTTTGATATTGAGGCCCACAAGCATTTCACAAGTGTGGGAAGATAAGGAGGTTTATCTTATAGGCCCAAGTAACTAGACCAATCATAGAGCTTTTGTGTGCAGAAATGGTTCAGAGATGACAAAACCCCTGGATTCTGTTAAAAGAATCTCAGTCTGACACTTGCTCTGCAGTGCTCTTTCTGTATATAAATACGAAACAAAAAAATACAATAAATGTGCTAGAACCCAGTCAGAAAAAGTATCACTAATGATATGCTTAATGCACAGCAACTGTACATCACCCATTTTCAGAAAACCCAACTGTGCTCTTATGACAGTTTAACAATATTTAAATATAACTTTTGGAACATTTTTCCTTATAATTGAAGTTTATTATAGCTAAAAGGCATTTCCTTAAAAATTGTATTTAGGAAGTTCAGGAAAATTAGCATTGGCCAATAACAGGAAAATGCTTAAGGTCAATCATATGTTTTATTGGGGCTAGAAACAACATAGTATTTACTATCTTAGACAGTTTTAAATGTACAATTCAACAGTGTTAAGTAAATTTACTTTTGTGAGAATTTTTTACCTTGCCCAAATTGAAACTCTATACCCATACTAATAAACAAAAATTTCTCTTTTTCCCTTCCCTTGACTCCTGGTATCTACCTCTTTCCATCTGTATGACTCTGACTACTTTAGATTACTTATAAAGGTCAAATCATATAGTATTTGCTTCTTTGTAACTGGCTTATTTAATTTCGCATACTTTGCTCAAGATTCATCTATGCTATAGCATATAGTAGGATTCCCTTTCCTCTTTTTTTTTTTTTAACATTTATTTATTTATTTAGTGTGTGTGTGTGTGTGTGTGTGTGGCCAGCTCAGCCCACCGGGGGCGGGGCTGGCTGGCATGTGGTGCTGGGGGATTGAACCGTGGTCCTTGTGCTCTGCCAAGCTTGTTCCAAGCAGGTGCTTTAGACCACTGAGCCATCTCGCCAGCCCCTCCCTTTCCTCTTAAAGCTGAATAATATCCCATTATATATGTATTCTATATGTCTTACTTTCTTACTGCTGGGAAAAAATACCCAGTTAAAAGAGGAAAGGTTTATTTAAACTGACTATTTGTAGAGATTTCAGTCCATATTCAGCTGATCCCAAGGAAGGGCCGCATGGCAGATGCACTTGGCAAAAGAAAAACAGTTCATGATGTAGCAAGTAGAATTTCTTTCCCTTTTTATTCCACTCAGGCTACAAGCTTATTAGTTCATGCTACCCACATCTAGAATAGGCTTTCCCATTATTCAGATTCAGAATTACGCTAAATAAATCAGTGGAGAATTCAATTATCACACCATAATTCAGGATCACACACTAGTGATCCAGCCACCCCCCAAAAGCCCCACGTATGTGTGCATGAGGCAATCTAGATAGACATTATTAACATCACATTTTTTAACATCTTTTTTTCGGGGAACTGAGGATCAAACACTAGGCCAACACTGAGTTAATACATTATAGCTGCTGCCCAACATCATATGTTGTTTATCCTGTCATCTAGTAATGGACATATGGGTTACTTCTACCTCAGCATCTGTGAATAATGTTGCGATGAAATGAAAGTGAACAGGATCTTTTCAAAATCCTGCATTCAATTCTCTTGGAATACACCAAAAATGGATTGCTGAATCATAAAATTCAATTTTTAATTTTCTAAGGAATCTCCATACTGCTTTCCTCAATACACAAACTGTCTTATAGTTCTACCAACAGTGCACAAAAATCTGTGTCTCCATGTTTTCACTATTATTTATTACTGATTTTTTGATACAAGCCATTGGAATGATAAATAGTGATATTTCATTGTTTTGATTTGTATTTTTTTGACGATTATGATATTTAGCATATTTCCATGTTGACCTTTTATATACTGTATTTGCTGAAACAGCAAGTCTTTTAGCCTACTTTTAAACTGTGCTATTGAAGACCAGTGAGATAGCTCAACACACTAAGCACCTGCTTAGGCAAGCACAGGGACTGATCCACGGTACCACACGCTGCATCGGGTGCACACTCGGACACAGTGAGCCAGCAACTGAGTCCGGGAAGGGTGGCACGTGCCTATAATCCCAGCACTAAGGAGGCTGAAAAACAGGAGGTTCCTATGAGTCCGAGCTGCATAGTGAGACCCTGTACCAAATACATAAAATTAAAAAAAAAAAAAAAAATGGGCTATTGGATTTTTGTTGAAGAATCATAGGCATTCTTTATATATTGTAGATGCTAATTCCTCATCAAATAAATGAGTAGGAAACATTTTATCCCACCCCATAGGTTGATCTCCTAGTCTGTGAACTCCACCCATTGAGGCACTGAAGATTTTGGGTCTGATGCAGCTCCATTTGTCTATTTACTTTTGTTGCCTATACTTTTGGCAAGGAATCCAAGAATCACACTTTCAGGTCCAATGTTACACTGTTTTTTCTCCATGATTTCTTTTAGGAGTTTTATAGTTCTGTTTTATGTTCACATATGTTTAATCCATTAATTTAATATACTATGCATGGTTAACCTTATACAGTATGTGATAATTAATTTGATAGGTCAACTTGACTGGGCTAAGAGGTGATTAGCTAGCTAGTAAAATATTATTTCTTTTTTCCAGAAAAAAGTGAGCATTTGAATAAGTGCTTTTTTTTTCTGACTAAAGAAAATTCACCCTTATAAATGTGGGTGAGCATTTTTAAAAACTGCCTAAAAACTGCCTGTCATAAACAAGTCTTTAAATTCTTCTGAATTTATTGTGTGTGGAATGAGATAAGGACTATTAATTTACTTGTATGCACATATGCATATGAAAGTTAAAGTTTATGCAGTTTTTAACATGATTATAACAGTCCATTGTTATGTAATGAATAGTTCTTCATTTCCCAATGATTCTCTAATACATCAGGTTTCCATAAATATATGTGTCTAACTGGAGACTCTCTAGCCTATTTCACTGGTCAGTTTGTTGATATCAGGGCCAACACTACAACATCTCAATGCTAGTAGTTGTGTGTGTGTGTGT